GTTGCTGAGGAAGTTCCCCGATTCCCTGCATCAGGTGTTTTTTTTTTTTTTTTGTTTTTTTTTTTTTTCCTTTTTATTTGCATTCTGTTTTGGACTGCCTGAAGGCAGACGGCTCTCTGGTCACTGAAGTCGATTAAGCCTCCCAGCTGAGCCCAGGAGACCCGCTCCACCGCCAGCCTCGGTGTCACCGGCTCACCCCTGGGCAAGATGCCTGGAAGCCCCTGTCTGCCAGAGCTTCCCACCTCTGATGCCTCTCCTCGCTCTTGCTCATTTCTGCGCTGCTTCGGAGGACGTCTCCGTTTCCCTGCAGCTGCAGAGAAGCCCCGTTAGGTCCTGCGGTCAGTGAACTCCTGTCAGGGCTGCCCCTTTGGAGCGATGGTGGCCGTGCCCTGGGCAGCGCTGCTGAGAACCGCAGGGAAAGACCAGCAGGTCCAGGGTCCCCGAAGAGGTGGTGGAGTCTCCTTCTCTGGAGATGCTCCAAAGCCTCTTGCATGATGCTCTGCACTGTTGTACCTTGCTTCCCTGCAAGTGTCTGTCTCACTGGGGCTTTTGGATGCAGGATTCCCATTTGAGCCCTGAACCTGGCTGCGCAGGGCAGGTTCTCCTGCCCCTGGCTTTGGGGAGGAGGCTCCCAGGCAGGACGTGGAGGAGGGCAGGCGATGGGGGAGGCCGGGAGGAGGGTGCCAGGTTGCTGGGCCGGCTTGGGCAGGAGCCCTGCAGGTCTCCCTTTCTGTTCCGGAGCTGGTTACAGTGGACCCAAAGGTACCGCAAGAAGCAGGGAGCCTTCATTTCCCAGGACCCGGAGGAGCCTTGGATAAACGTGTTGCTTTTTGGTTCTGGTGCGAATCCAATCCATAACCCTGGGGGCACTGGTGCGGGGCAGGTGCTTTCTTGCCTGCAGGTGTGAAGAAGAAACACGGGCTTTGCCAGTTCAGTCTCAGTGCCCACTCGTATTTTCCCTGGGTCTCTGTTGCTCACTGAAACTCTTAACACTCATAATTGCAAATGCTTTCAGACACAGTGGGGACCTTTGTGTGGCCTTAAGTGTTAATGGTGTACTGTACACCATGAATTTCAAACAGGGACTCTGCTTTGAGTGTCTCTATTTCTGGGAGTCCTCACTTGAGACTCCTGAGAAAAATTTTTTTTAAAAGTCTCCCTTGTCAGAAATCACTGAGCAGCTCTGAAAATCAAGCCAGTTCTAGCAGCTCCAATAAAATGCTCCCCACGGCCCTATCGCTATCTCTTTTTCTCACAATTTATATTTCTGTTCACTTGTGACAATCTTGGCTGGGTGCTGCTGCTGAATCAGGGATGTCTTTTCCATGCACTTCTCTTTTGCTTTCCCGTTTTGGAAGTTTTGTTTTTATGGCTTGTGTTTAATTGTCCCTCTGGCGTGCGAGCGATTGGAACGCTATCGAACATTAAGGTTAAATGATGATATCACAACTTACTATGTTTGCATTTTACATCCAATTGCAAACACAAACCCTTCGCCTCATTAATCCTTTGCAATCCAATTTTTTTTCTCCCCCTAAATGAAATTGTCCGTTTGGGATGCATTTATTTTCCCTTAACAGCCACATGACAGTTCCACTGATGGAGTTTGCATCCAACTTTGTTACAGGGTAGTGACAAGTCGGCCTGACGGATGCATGTGTGTAATTATTTTTTCGCGCTTCAATTTAATTAATGTTTAACCTCATCAGAGTCATACAGCTGGAGTGCTCTCTCTGCAGGAACTGCTAACAGCAGAAGAATTTCCTCCTGTGCAAAAGGCTCCAAAAGGGCTCGGAGAGCCTTGTATTACAAAAAAAGAAGGAAAAAAAACCAAAGCAAAACCAAAAAACAAACAGCCCAACAGCCCAACCCAACAAAAACAAATCAGCTCTACCTGGCTGCCCTTCCCCGCTCTAAGTGCATTTAAACTGCTGCCTATTGCCTGTCATTAAATGTGATTCTGCACTAAGTGTTTCTAACAGCTCTGGGAAAGGTCATATTTTGCCGAGAAGATCTACGTTAAAAAAAAAAAAAATCAAAAAACCCTCCATTTACAGTACCATATAACTTTATTTTGTGTAATGCCTTTTACATATAAACTTTCTCCCCAAACACTTTTATTGAGTGAAGCACATTTAGAGCTTATAAATAATACAAGGAGAGACAAGGTAATAAGAGGCTGGGTGTGGGAAGGGTGGATGGAAGGAGGATTTCTCTGCCAAGGTCTTAATGGAGCTGGAGGTCTGGCCAAGTGGGTCCACGTTTCATGTGGCCAACACTGAGGGACCTTCTCCTTGCAAGGGAGCTGATGCCTGCGCTTGGAGATGGGATGAGGACTTGGGCAGATCGGTGAGTTCCTGGTGTTTCACTCAATTTGGGGAGCTCTTGCTCTTCTCCTTGGCTTGGGAAATGCTCCCAGCTCTGCAGGTTGAGATGGTTTCCAGGGGAGACTTGGCACTGCTGACTGCCTAGGGCTTGTGTGGACGGAGCATCCCAAGGAGATTGCAGAGGCAGCAGCAGGGCCATGGGGAATTATGATCCCCGGGGAACTATCGCTCTACAAAGAGACTTCTTTTTTTGGCTTCCTGGGAGAGGTCTTCATAATCACTATTCCCTCCTGGTTTGGCCCTCCTGGTTGCCAAAGTGTATGTAGCCGGCTCCGGGTTCAAACGTGGCCGCCTCCAGCAGCATCCCGGCCTGTCCGAGCGGAGCTGAGGCGGGAAGCGGGTCCGGCTGGGAGCGTGGCGGGAGGCGGTGGGCAGGGAGGGACCGAGGGTGCTCTGAGGTGACCAGCGGGGCTGCGCGGTGCCTCAGGGCCGCCCTGTCTTGCATGGGGCGCAGGGCTGGCGCCCAGGCCTGTGGGGCCGTTGCTGTTCAGAGAGGGGTGTCTGGTGCCCTCTCCTGGGGCAGGCGATTAAAAACACCCTGGCTGTTGGGAAAGGTTTGCCTTGGTTTTCCCCCAAAACACCCCAAATTATAGGAGCCCAGGGAGGAGGACACGGAGCTGCTGGTGGGCCCGGCTGCTGCCGCGGAGGGGCCGCATCCGGCCTCCTCTTGCAGCGCCTCCCTTCTCCCGTTTGTGTCTTTGGGCACAGGCAGAAGGAAAAAGTAAGATCAATGACAAGGAAAAATTTTAATCAACGGCAAAGGCTTCTTTTGTGTGCGTACTGCTGCTGAAATCAAAAACTAGAGCAGAATGTTTCATTAAAAAAAATCCTGCTTTGCTGCTTTTCTTTGGCGATTTTGGGGGGTTGACTGGATGCATTTCAAAAGCAAATGTTTGTATCTTCCCTTCCCCTCCGGTTGTTTCTGATTTCCTTGTTTTCTGGCTGAGTTTGGTAGATGAGTTTTCTATTAACTGTTGTGCTTTTGGGGGTAAATTAATTTAAACAGAAAATTTCCACTTAGCTAATTATACAGTAGTGTCACCCATGTCAGTCTGTATTGCAGAGACCTCCCTGCACTGCCGGGATGGGAATGGCGGCGGAGGAGCTGCCATCGTCTTGATTTCCATAGGAAGCTGCAGAGCAGAGGGTGCAGGTACCGGGGACAGCTGTGACACAGGAGCTGAGTCCTCTAGCAGCAGGTGACACGGGAGGGACCTTGAGCAGGAGCGACGGACAGGGGCATGGATATGGGTGAGCTCCCAAAGGCTGCTCCCACAGAGGCAGAGGCAGGAATGGCCCTGGAGCTTGTGACCTGGCTGTCTTTGGGTTGTGGCCTGCTTATTTTGGGCACAAACATAAAGCCAAGGGACATGCTGGGGTTGATACGATGCGGTGATGAGCAGAGGCCACGAGCTGCTGAGCGGCCCTTCCCCAAGGCATCGCATGGAGCCTGGGAGCTGCATGGGGCTTCGGGCCTTGCTTGTCTGTTCCCCGGACGCTGGGAAATCTCCTGGTCGGCCCCATTGAGGTACCTTTTGAGGCTGCCTGCTTTGCAAGCGAGGTGATGCTCACCGGGACTCGCTGGCCACCCCGGCCAGGGAAACAAGGATCCCACGTGCTCTTCTCTCCCTGTTCCGTGCTGTCACCCCCTCCCCATGCCAGGAGCCACCGCAGCGGGGAGCGGAGCAGCTCTGCGGAGCCGCTGTCCCCTGGAGACAGGGCCCCTCCGTTGTGGCCCGCAGCACTTTGCTCTGGGGCAGCAAGGTGGCTGTGGAGCAGCGGGAAGGGAGGGCACAGGGATGTGGGGCATGGACGGGCCTGCGGGCTGCAGTGCCGCACAGCCCAGCGTGTCGACTAACGGCTCCCCCTTCCCGCTCATTAGCAGATTTCACTTTTGCAATATCCAGCATCCGAACTGAGCCTGGCCTCAGACAGAAATCACCCAGAGAGCTGCTGTTACTTATTTCTTCAATGTGGTTTTGATTTGTTTTTGCCCATAATTGTTTCACTGAGAAGCTCTTTAACCTTCTTGCTTTGGAAAAGGGATTTAAAATGTCAGGTTGGTTGGTTTGTTTTTTTTTAATGACAGAAGCGTGTCTTTATAAAATACACACAGATTTGGGCAGCCAAAAAGGCTTTGGGGAAGACAGAGCATCCGTCTGGATTGGGAAGGGTGGCCGGCATGGGTGGAAAAGTGGGCAGAGATTGGAGAGAGCCAATGCGCGACCTGAACGTGGATGAGCGACTGGAGAGCCCAGGCTCGTCCTTCCCGTGTGTCCAGCAGGTGCTCACGAAGCCCTGGGAGAAGTTTGCGTCTCATCTCCCCCAACGCCGGTCACCCTTGGTGGCTCTTGATGGCCTGTGGGCCGGGTTCTTTGCCCTGGGGTGGGTAATTCCCACCATCCTCCGAGTGGCTGTGCAGTACCATGGGAGGGAATTCTTGGATTTCTTTATGTTGACTTTCCTATAGAAGCCCTAGGTATCTAAGCCCACAAACTATGCGGGAATGGTGTTACAGCTGCAAAGTGAAATGCCCCAAATGCCCAAATCGAGGTTGCCTACACAGCCCTACTTGGCTGTGGTGTGCATGTGCGTTAATGATATGATCTTTAATTATGTGATCAGGAAACATGTTTGCCTTGGATCCCTGCCTTGTTCGCCGTCTAAATTAACTTCCGACTCGAAAACAACAGTGAGAACCCTGCCCCGGTGCGTGGCTGAGCTGCGATCTGTTTGAATGGATTAATGAGCTTGTAAATCTGCAAACAGGATTAGAGACGAGAGCACCTTTATTGAGACATCTGGCTCGCTGCTGGGGCTGCAGCAGAGCGGGCGCTCTGCGGCGCAGGAGGACCCGCGTGCCGGCCTGGGCAGGAGACCCTTTCATAGCGCGCTGGTCTCTGCAAGGCTTGCTCTAATCCGTTGGCCTGAGCTAAGCTGCAAGCACAACTTTGCTATCCCAGAAGGTGCACCTCTCTAAGAGCCGCTGTGGAGACATGCTGCCCATGCAGAGATGGAATTCCTTCTACAAAGTCTCGGTAAATGTAAACAGATTGAGCATTTGGGTTAATGCGCGGCGTTCGAGCACAGTGTCGCTTCCCTCTTTGAGGGGAAGGCAGAGCTTGTTGAGTGAGGAGACTGGGCTGCAGAGGAGGATGCGAAGGGTACGGAGAGCGCGTGGTGGGCACGGTGCAACACCCCGGGAGAGCACCTGGGTGTTCCTGCCACGTGTTCTAATGGATGGTGATGCCCAGGGAGAGGTCAGCCTTTGGAGGTCCTATTGGCATAGGTTGCTCTGCTGCTGGCGCTTCGGAAGCTGAGCACCACGACACCTTCAAGAACGGCTTGTGTGATACTCAGGGAAAGCCAAAGGAAGGGACCTTCTGAGTTCATAGCGAGTAGCAGCGCCGGGGTCCTGCGGATGGTGCATGCGGGACAGCGGGGACACGAGGAGGACGTTGGGAGCTGGCTCTGATTTGGGAGCCTCCACGCTGGCTCGGCGAGATCGGCACCGACCATCCGAACGGCAGCGTCTGGGTCAGACGGCCTCTCCATCCCCCTCCGTATCTGTTAAGTGCTCTGCCCTTCTCAGTAATTGGTTGCAGTGATTAGAATCTCTCTGTTGTTCCTCAGCACTTCCCTCCCAGCACCGCTTCTAAGAGAAATAAAAGACGCGCTGACAGGAGCGTGCTCCTCTTCATCTTGAGCACTCCTCTTCCTCCACTGGCCTCCTGTGCACAGATAAGGCCCCGTGGACCCTCGCGGGGTCCCCTCCTCATCCCGAGCATCCCCAGCCTGCAGGATGAGGGCCAGGACACAGAGCTGGTGCCGAGCACCATAGTTTCAGAGTGACACTTGGGTGAGGGCCAGCGAAGCAGCCGTTTGCTCCGGGAAGGCCCGTGGCCTGGTGAGGGTCAGCACTGCCGCCTCGCCTGGACGCTGCGGGCTGGGAAAGCCGGAGGCACCACGGGAAGGTAAAACCCAGTGTCCCTGATGGCGCAAAGGGGGAACGGTTTCCCTCACTGCCTTCTGTCATGCGACCTTCGCCGCCGAGTCGTGTCGGAGGAGCCGCTTCCGCTGCGGGCTGGGACCCGTGCTGGGGTCTCCCGGCTTCTGTATTTATACATCCTGCATAGTTCTAGGTAATCAGAAAATGCAATATCGCTGTCACCAGCTCTCTGAAGACATCCAGCCTGAGTAATTTAACATGTCAGCATCATCCATCACAGAGACGCAACCAGCAAACAAACGCAAAAGTGGCTGCCGGGGGCTGGGACGTGGCCGGCAGAGCAGCCCATGGGCAGCCCGGGGCCAAGGCCGGGCGCAGGCCCCTGCGCGGGCCGGAGGGCAGCGATCTCTGCCCTTCCTGTCCTTGCTCTCTGAACGGGAGGAAAATGGGAGTTTCCTGGGGCTTCTCGATGCTGCTCCAGGTGCCGCGTGGCTTGCAGAAGGAAAACCACATGTCAAAATGCGTTTTCATTTGGGTTCTTCAGCATTTCAGGTCTTTTGCTAGTGTTCTTTGGCATTTCAGGTTTTCTGGTGCATAAGGGCCCAGAGTCTCACCTGGTTTCAGAACCAGGAGGCAGCTGCTTCGGTTCAGGTGCAGAGATTGTCCCCAGCCGCTGCCGTCGGTGCTTGTAATATCCGCAGAGCCTTCGTGTGTTGCTGCCTGTGTGCTGTGTCCAGCTCTGCCTGGTTGTCCCCCCTCCCCATGGAGTTTTCTTGCAGACTGTTTTTGCAAATGAGGCAGCTTTTCCATGAAAATCTCCCCTTCCCGGGAACGACTGCTGTTTCATGGTGGTGCTAGCGTGGGCGTCTGAGGGAATCATGGTGTGGCTCTGGGACTCTGACGAGGACCCTGCTGCGTTCTGCACCAAGCAGTCCTTGGGGTGCAGGCATGAGGATGCCTGGGTCCCCTAGCCCCAAAACGGTGCGGTCGGGAGCTCAGGGCTGTGCGTGAAGCCCTTCTTGAGCGCTCATAACCCATCGCCAGTCCCGGCCGCTTGCTGTCTCTTTAGGACCTTAATGGAAGTGCTCAAGTAGCATCAGGTAATTAATGGCCACACTTTAGTGCCCTTAATCCCGCTTGGTAGCAAGAGCTGAGCCGCAGGCCCCGTCTCCAGCGGCCGCTCGATGCAGGGCTGGTGCCGGCTCTTCCCTGCCTGGCAGCGAGTGGGATGAGCAGCACTGCCAAGCTGCAGCCAGGCCTCGCTGCCCAAGGGAGCCCAAAACCCTCCCGGGAGGCTCCTGCTGGGGCAGGACACGGCCGGGGCCGGAGCCCATCCGTCTGCAAAGGCCCTGCGGAGCGCCTGGCGCCTCTTTGCACCCATCGCTCACCAGGGTGATGCAGGATTTTGCAGGGCAGAAGGCAGCACTCCCCTGTTCCGCTGCCAAGAAATGTGGAAATTGTACTTCTGCCTAGAATAAAGGGTCTTTTTAAAACAGTAAAATATTTTAATGGCAGTTTAAAGGGCCACTGTCAACCCCTGGAGGCCTCATTTCTTTAAGCTTTCTATAGGAGTTGAAAGGCTTCTGCCAATTAGGTTGTGAATGGCTTTTTTTTTAATATCTGTCACTCCTCAGTGCTGAAGCGCTAACGCACGGAGGTGATGGTGGGGTCTGCTAGGGCAGACGAGTTGCACTCGTGCAGGGAGTCCTTCCCTGGCTCCAAGTACCAAAGAGAAGGAGATCAGGAGCTGGTTGTTGCCTGTCCCATGAATCACTCTTGGTGACCCCACAAGATCCTGGAAGCGGGATGAGGCCACTGGCCTCACTGCGGCGCTTCCAGCCACCCCATGCCCAAGCTGTGACGCTGCTGATTGGGTTTATTTCTCCTTGATTGCTTGCAGGTGGTATCGGCTTTGGACGTGCCAAAGGAAACTCCGGCTCGGAGGCAGACGACGAGACCCAGCTCACCTTCTACACGGAGCAGTATCGGAGCAGGAGGCGAAGCAAAGGTAACAGTGCCATAACTCGTGCCAGTGCCGGAGAGGCAAACGAGACCAGAGCGGATGGTCGCGGTGGGGTCTGCACCTTCACTGTGCTCCTCGGTGACGGGTGCTGTGACAGCAGTAGGTAAGCACCAAAATGCCAAACCTTCTGGTAAAGGCATCCCAACGGGCGCTGCTAGTAGCATTTCCCAGTGACGTCGCTGAATTTCTTCGTTTCTCTGCTGGTTTCCTGTGTTAGTCACGTTAAACATGTAGGTAGCTCAAGCAGTCATTCGCAAATCACTTTCCTCCATCCCGTAAGCGATGATCGCCCTGGCAGTTCCTTAAGCTAAGCAAGACTGGGCCTTTTCTTTTTTTTCCCCTTTATTTCCTGTGCGAAGCTTCTGCCTCCCTGAAATTTCCCGTGCTTCCTCTCGGCACAAAGGCAATTAAAAAGAACAAATGCAAAATGAGGGTTGGGGCAGGGACTTGCAGACAAAAGTCCCTCCAGGCTTTTTGTGACTTAGAAGAGCTGAGAAAATGAGATATCATCCACAGTTTGAAATTAATGTCCACATTTGCATTAGTCACGTAACACCAACTTGTTTTGTTCAGGACCTTCAGACCACTCCCATGGCTGGTCTGGACCACAGCATCTCTGCTGTTGCTATTGCTGCATTTGGAAAGCCACTGCTAAGAATTAACAACATTGGGAAGCAATTTAAGAATGGCACAGTGGGTCTGCTCCTTCCATTTGTTTTCCTTATTAAGCCAAGCACAAGCAGAGCGCGGCGTTGCGGATAGATGCCTGCACCCACCACAGCAAATGCAGCTACATTTATTTCAGTGATTAGGCATTCGGATAAATGCTCACAATGTGTTTATTTCAATGTGAAATTACCTCAACACCTATGATCGCCTTGATGATTGCACATAGGAATAAACACACACTCACAGGCATATTGCATTTATTCCTTTGAAAAGGCAGCAAACTTTTTTTTTTTCTCCATGTGTTTTAGAACCAAGAGAAATTCTCCCTGAGCTGAAAACGAGCTTTTAATGGAAAGCGGGGAGAGATTTCAAGAGTTGAAGTTACCTGTAGTGGTATTAGCAGAGCCTTGTTGAGGATAAAATGATTTGTGATGTCCATTTGGAAAGAGAAGGAAGAAATTTGTTCTGTTGCAAGTAATAATAAAAGAAATGGTCCTGAAAAGTCAGTGGCACAAGGGAAAGATTTCAGAAATGACCTCTTTTCAGTGAGTTGCTCTGAAATACTGGACTTTGTGGAGAACCTTGGGTACTTTGTAAAAGTTGCTGAAGTTTGTTTTCTTCAGCTAATGGATTAGAATAAGGAGGTGGGGAGATGGTGTACTCTCAAGATGTGGAAAGTTGTTTTATAAGGGTAAGCAGATAAAATTTCACTTTCCTGCTGTCTACATGCTTCTCCCTTAGGTCAGGTATTCTCTCCCAACACACACTTTTGCTGCTTATCTAGCACAAAAATATTTTTACTGGCGTATGCGTTGGCTTGGAGTTGTTCCTTTATGCTTCCTTGTATAGTAAATATAAAGGGATAGATAAATGGGAGGAATTCCTTTATTGTCTTTGAATAAGGAGTTTACCTGGGCGGCTTTAATGGCTGGGTTTGAAGGGGGCTTCAGTAAGAAGAGCTCCTTTGCGTAGCTGCACAAAGCTGGGTCCGTTAGATCACACAAGGCTTTGACTAATGCTATAAGAGCCTGCTTTCTTCATCTTTAGTTCTGGTTAAGCAAGGATTGAGTTTTGCCTGAAGTTCCCCCTGTATTTTGCCTCCTGTCTAGCTAAATTTTGCTGTCACTGTGTCCTTGAAAGGAATTTTCCATTATCCTTTCATTGACTCTTCTCTCCCTTGTGGAAGGAAAGCAATAGCTTAGTGGGAAGTCACAGTACCAAGCTCATAATTACAAGTACAGCAAAGATCCATAATTGGACAAGATCATAATTCTAATAGAGAAGGACGCATCGTCAGATACAGTTAATTCTTACAATGATGTTCCCATATTGATTTGGTGATGGTTTTGTGTCATTGCAGGTGCTGTGAGGTAGTTATCGGATCCAAGGAGAGAGAGATTCCTCGTGATTTCTCTCCTTAGACGAGGATTTGCAGGATTGAGCATAGTTACTGATACTGTCAAGGCACTGATCACAGCAGACGTGATGAGAAGTTTCCACTTAGGTGGCATGCAGGATAATATTTACTTTGTGCATTGTTGAAGCGAACTATTTAAGTGGTCATAGGTTTTATTTGTTCCCTGTAGAAGAAAGGCTGCAAATTTCAGCCTGAGGATGTGCTTGGCGAGGTAAATTAGAGGGACATTCCCACAGGTAAATATTGACTGAGGGAGAAAACTGTGTCATATGATGTATTTGCCTGTCCGAGTATTTCAGGAACATCAGAGTTATTGGCATTTGTTTTTCAATACTCAAATACTTAAAGAGATAATTCTCTTTAGGAATATAGGCTGCCCACCTGTGGTTTCCAGACTACTACCCAGAATGTCTTCCCATCTTTTAGCTCTGTATGATCCCTTTTGGTTAAAGTTCTCCTGGCTTTGGAAACTCTTTGGAGAAGTTGGTAGGACACAAAGGAAGTAAAGCAAAAGAGAAATTCCCTTGGAGCCTTGTTCATTTTCTGCCTGTTGGGTTTGGCCCAGCCTCGGCTAGAAACCGGAGCCTGGATTTGAGATGGGAAAAGCACCTAATACCAACCTTTAGTGCGGGATCCCTGCTGCTGGTTACAGTGCTGTGCCAGAGCCTGCGCCAGCTCTCCACCCGCTGCTCCTTCGAGATGGATCAGAGTGATCTCCGAACCTCCTGGGCTCGCGGGAGCTCTTGGCGGCAGCTGGATCGCAAAGCTCCCTGCGTTGCTGGCACGCGTCTCGGGGGTTCACCTGTGTACTGAGCTTCAGTTTGGACTCAATATCCCGTTTTACCTCTCTGGAAAGGAAACCATCACCATGCTCCCAAGAAAACAGGGAGGAAAGAAATTGGTGCCGCTCTCAAATAAACTAGGTGCAAATCCTGAAACAGTACGGAGGGCTGTATGGAGCTAAATACGCAGAGGCTTTTGAGACATTCAGCTTGGATAGGGAATGGGTAGTTTTCTCTTTGCCAAAAGCCCTCGTTATTGACTCCATCAGGTTTTCCAGACTTGCTATTTCATGCAACCTGTTCATAATATTTTTGTGCTCTCCAGAGACCGCTATATCTCAATCACTAGTGCTCTGCTTGAGAGCTGACTCTCTTCTTTCCCGGTCCTCTCTGAAAACCAGGGAATGCAGGAACTTCCTTCCCAGCAGCAGAGAGCTGGATCAGAGCAGGATAGGGATTGCATCCCAGGTGCAATGATGGCTCTTGTCTCCCAGGCTATCGGTCAGTGCACATTTAATCAGTGCTAAAGTCCCTGTTAGAATCCACCACTTTCTTAGAGATACTGATCCCTGTCCCCCGTTGCCCATCATGGGACATTTCAAGCCTTGATATTCTTCTGCTTCTGTGCAGCATATGCTATGCTCGGTCAGGCCCTGTTTCTGAGCTTTCTAAAAGTAATAGAAGTAAAAATCATAAAAAAGGGAGGCAGAATCCCTTAGAGAAACCTTTTTTGCCTGTTGATTTGCCCCCTGTCTGTCCCCCTCCTGCTCTTGGGAGCAGTTGCCATAGCCTCCTGCTCTCCCTGCCTGCCTGGGAAATACATTCAACTGTGCCTCTGCCTGAGCAGCTCCAAGTTCCTCTGCATTGCCTACCTCATGCCTATTAAAACAGAAAGGGAAGAGGGAGGAAAAATAGCATCATCATAATTCCAAGGCTGTCTGAGGCTCTTTGCAAGGGCAGCCTGGGCCTCCTGGCTCCGGTTGGTGCTGTTTGTCAAGGACCAAGCGCATCTAATGAGCCTCCACGGCTCGCTGGCGAGTGAGGGAGGGAAGGAGCGCGCGCCTCCCTTCCTCCTTCCCTCCTTTTCAGCCGCTTCGGGCCTTGGAGCAGCCGCTCTGTAACACGGGAACGTTCCTGCCCTTTCGCAGCGCTTCCTCAGAGATGATCCCTACGGGATGAGCCAAGGGTAAACGACAACACGTTGTGCCCACGGGCCAGGAGCCTTGTGGCTGCCTCCACATGAGGGCACTGAGGCAGGAAAAGGTTCTTTGGTGCTGCCCTTGCTCCCCCATAAAACAGACCTGGGTGCGGGGCCTCTCTTGAAGCCGTTTAAAAGAGAGAGAATGAAGCATCCAACACTGTATCCGTGCGGTGCTGCGGTCCAGGCACCATCTCCCATCGCAGGAGCACCAGGGAGAGGGGCAGCCGTGGCGCAAGGCTGCTTGTGGTGGGAGACCCTGTCACGAGGTGCCTGTCGCTTTCCCTGGAGCACCGGGATGTTCCTGGCAAATTAGCAAAGTCCAATTATCCGCCTTGGATCGGTGTCAGCGGCACACGCGTGCGTCGTGCCGCCCGGCGAAGCCTTCTGAGGGCTGTTAGAGAAACGAGAAGCCGCGCTTTGATCTGCCTCTGTGTTTGGCGTTTAAAACAAGGCCTTTTAGAAGGGAATATTCGGTATTCGGAATCTGTTACACGCGAGGCAGCTCCGCTTTGATCCTCTCCCGTCTCTGGAGGCAGCCGACACTTACTATTTCATGGGGAGCTAAACGACGTGCGGAAGGAAATTGGGGAAAGGTTCGTGGTGCCTCCACCGGCGCGCGGGAAGGGCCGCGTGTCACAGCCTGCCCTGTCGTGGTGCTCGGGTGGGCTCGTCCCCTCGTTCCCTATTAGGGGCCGGAGACGAAGGGCGCCAGAGCCAACGTGGCAGTGACTGTCAGCGTCTTCCGCGCGCAGGCCCCGCGTGGGGATGCTGGGTGGGATGGGGTGCTTGGACGTGCCCAGGCGGGGCAGAGGATGGTTGGGGCCCATGTGGCTGTTGCCTCGCCGTGCACACGAGGCCGGGGGTGTCATGGAAAGCTGGGCTCGGTGAGACACGATGGCCAGGGCAGCCATGCTCC